CCCCCCCCCCTGGAAATCCGCTCTCCCTTCTCAAGAAAAGACAGAACGGGCTTACCTGTCATAGTATAAATTGGCCTTTGAGACAACCCGAGAGCTGACATGTTTGCACCGAGAGCTTGCAAACCAGATCCTTTGATGTTGTCCAGAAATTTGGATGCTGTTGTCCATGCAAGGCTGTCGAGAAATGTCGCGGGAGCCTCAAACACCCGTAACACCTTCTCGTCTGCACCACTGACGTATCTGTGATTTCCAGATCCTCTGATCCAAGCCACACAATTCATATCGTGTCCATGCACCTGTCAAGATGCAAAGCGTTCATCATCATGTAAGGACCTGCCCAAACACGGACTGAGAACACAGTTGATTTCTGAGTTTTTCCACTAGAATGAATGCCTTGCTGAGATTCCCGTTTTCTGCTGAGTTTTCTAAGTTTGTGATGTGCATGCTTGCTGGTCTGTGTGCCTATCTGAGTGCTTGTCGGCTTCAGTGTGTGTGTGATCCGCAAGGGTACTTGCTTGCTTGGAAAGCCCCGTAGGGCCGGTACTTACCTGTGGCCGTGAGATTGAGGGTTGCAGCATGGAAAAACACTCAAGTAGCAGGTAGACCGAGCAAAAGAAGACAAAAAAGTTGGCATTTTTAGAGGCCCAGTAGTTGTAGGCCAGGTCTAGGAGGGTACCAGTCCAAGTAGTCTGAGTCTAGGGCCTGTACGGGCGATATCAGAGTCTGCAATGATGTTTTCATCCGAAAGGGAGGAGGCACCGGTTGCTTGGAGGCCGTGCGGCCTGAAGTCACTGCCCAAGAGGCAAGTTGGCTGCTATATCTCCAGGAGCAGCGAAGTGCCCCTCCTCATTTGCTGCGGACAAGTTTGGACGTCACACTGCTGGAGCGCTGGAAGATCAGCGCTAGTGTGCAGCGCTGTGTGGGGAAGACAGGCGCCCAGCTCCCCACCTTGGCTACGGTAGAGGAGCTCAGGCAGGAAGAGGAGGAAGAAGGGACTAGGAGAGGGAGCGCCAGGGGTACTTATGGTGGACGCCAGCTTCATCACCTTAGTGGGCGCTGCATCTGGAAGGCCCCGTTGGGGTAGAGCTGCACCAAGAAGCTTTGAGGCAGAGTCAGGCATGGCGGCGTGAGAGGAAGAGACCATAGCTGCTTCGCGGTGTCTTTTGCACGTCAGGACTAGGCCCTTAGTAGTCTGCCACAGCCTCGGCCTGGAGAAAGGAGTAAGAGGCAGGCGGCCATGGCTATGGTGGACCTCAAGTTGTGCTGGCAGTCGAAGAGGGATTCATACACTGATTCTGGGTCTGCCATTCATCATTACTATTATTATCTATTGTTTGAATACGAGGGGAGGAGAAAAGGAGGAGGAGTTTGGTTGGCAAGGAGAAGGGGGATTATCATTGGTCTTTGCTGGTGTATATGTTCTTCTTCTTCTTACTCTCTCTCTCTCCTCTCAAGTTCATTCATTTCTTTTCGCAATTGGACGGCATTGTGCTTTCTCGTGAATTTGTACTTCGAAATTGACCAGGATCGTAACAATCGTTGTGATCATCGTCATCATCATGATCATCTTCTGTACTCCTGATAGGTAGGTTCATGTGCTATGTTTGCCCTAACAGCACGCACCTGCCCATGAGCAATGGCCAGGTTTATGCTAGCTCACCACAAGCATAGCACCTGAGGGCACCGGTCCTACCTGTAGGCTCTCAGTGCTCACTTGACTCACAGGTCAGTTTGAGACCATCCATACAAATACTGTAGGATGGACCTAGTCACTCTCTTTGGGCAGGTTCGTCCGCTGTTAGTACAGACAAGTAACTGCCGTCTTCACCCGAATAAAACACCTCGTCATTATTGCTGCATCTGGTCTGAACATTGCCGCAAATACAGCTATAATGACCGGGCGTTCTATTCGGGTGAAGGAGGTAGTCCTCTGCTTACCTGCAGTATGGGACTGAGATCAGCACATAGTACCACATAAATGCCACCAAGTGCCAAAAACTGGCGTGTGTTGACAGACGCCACCAGTGTATCTGAGAAAACCCAGCCTGTGTTGGTTACATATTGTCACATATCTATGAACCAAATGATCACACATTGCCAAACAAATGGTAAAAAACAAAAAAAACAAGATCAACATAAAGGGCACACTGACACCGTTCATTTTTCCCATTGTTCTTTCGACTCCCCCTTCACCGTGCCTGTCACGAACAAGGCTCACCACATTGATAAGTTGAACTCGAGCTGCCCGCATCCCCGTGTGCCATAACAGCCCACTTGTACACTGTGAGAAAGACGCAGAGTAAGGGGGGGGGGGAAGATAAACACAGGGGAGAGAGCGGTAGGGAAGACAAATAAAGAATGACGAAGGGAAAGTAAGGTAAGTACAGAGTGTGGAATGAAGATGAACGCAAAGGAGAGGATAAGAAAAGGCTCAAGAATGAGTCTGTCCTCGACGACAGAGAGGACATACATTGTAAGGATTAGGGGGATGAACATATGGAAGACCTAGCTGGGCATTCTCAGTACAACAACTGCCATGACGGTTGGCATTGAGCATGCCCACCATACACCCCCTACAAATGGCATGTCCATTGCAGGGCAAAATGAAGGAAGAACGCTCACCACAAAAGACCATGCATTCAGTGCGCCCATAGCCGCAAAATGGACATATGCTTTGTCATATAGTGTCCGGATGCGGAGGGTGCCTGCAGACAGGCACAGAGGGACAGTCGTCTACACACATGGATGCTGAAACCATGTCATTGTAGTGATTGTGACAGAGACGATGGTGGCTACAGCCGAGTGTAAGTGTTCATAGCTGTGCAAAGGAGGAGGTCACACAGTGTTGGTACACTGTCCTGCTGCGGCACGGGGCCAGCGGAATGATCTTCTACATAAAAGAGATTGCAGACAGCTTGGTGTGCCGAGAAAACAGCATTATTATGTAGGACATCAGTGACATCGGTCATGACATGGACCATTAGGCATGTACATTGGCCATTTAATGGCCAAGTCCATGCACAATGCAGGCAGAGATATGGGATGGAGGGTTAAATCACTCACCTGCTCGAGCATTGCATAGTTCAAGTTGGCGGTCCCTCATTGCTACTTGTAGGACAGCAATGGTAAAGCCACTTTCCCTTATATAATTACAATCCTCTGGCTGTAGGCGGGGAAGATCAGCATCAAGCTGAAGGGCGATCGCAAGGAAGTCTGACGGTATATAAAACGGGCGGGGAGAATGTGAAGACAGATATTAGTTGCAGTCAGACCACGGAGATTGGTGACGATGTCAGGCTGGTGTGCTGGATGCTGGCCAACAATTTGCAGATCCCCTGAGCAGGGACTGTCCCCGAGATAGCAGTGCACCCTGGGCGGGACCGCATCCTGTTGTACAGGTAACTCGTGAATATCTAACGTTGAAGGGCATGAAACACGGTCCCGTGGCTGCCTGCAGGCAGCTGGACTGTCTGCAGGAGGCAAAGGAGCGGATATTGCCGTTTGGCACAAAGCAACCGCAATAACCTGTGGATCAGGCAGAGAGAGAATTGGGCCAGACAAAGAAACAAGCTGCAAATCCCTGGACAAGCGACATTGCGGCGCACGCTGTCGGCGATGCACAACAAGAGTAGTGGTGTTGCAAACTGAAGATGAACGCGTCTCTGGTAATGAAGATGGAACACCGAGAACAACGGGAACAATGGGAACCGGTGAGTCCATTCGCAAGCAAGACCGTGGAGGAGATGGGGGTGGCGAGGAGGAAGACAACTGTCTGCGGGCAATCACAGAAAGAGATGAGAAGCAGTTGGATTGGGCAAGGTTTTACAATAAAGGACATGAGTGTGGGAGAGACAGTGATGTTCTTTGCACTGGAGCGGCGGCAGAGGAAGCTGTAGCAGTAAAAAGTACACTAGGGGGAATTGCGGCTATGGAAACTGCTGTACCGAAAACTGCAGCAGCAGAAATTGTAGCCGTGGAAAGTGCAGCAGTTTAGTAATAACGTAACAAAAGAATAACCAGGCACCGCTCTGCCCACAAAAAAGCCCCAAAAGCAAAATGTCAAGGGAGGTTACCGTATGAAGTCAGGGAGTGTAAGTACCTGCATGGGTCCTGGGGACCCTTTCACGCAAGTGTGTACAAGTCATGCATCATCCTCACACACCACGAGCAATAGTCTCAAGTCATAGACAAAGGTAGATGAGAAGAGGACCGAGTTTCACAGCTTATATTATCAGAAATATGAATACAAAGTGTTTCAAAGTTCCCCTGAGTCCAGCGCTCATCAGCGCAACACCAATCTCTTGTCAACTCATCAATATGACTTCCACTGAATCAGCGCTACTCCTGCAGATAGTCTCCAAGTCATCAATGTGGACACTACTCATCAGCGCCACCTCTGCAGGTCACATCCAACTCAGGTAAGTATCTTCCATAGCCGAACCTTGAATGAACACTCCCAGCCTCAGTCCCTTCCTCCTACGATGCATACACACTCTTCACTCATGAGGATCTACTCTGAATACTACTCATASCTACATGCTAACCCACTACTACTAATACTAACTCGTTGGGCAGCTATGGCTGCATCACTTCCAGCGTACAGGCTTCTTCCTCCCTCCTTCAGCGCATCTTCTACCTCCAGCGCTGCTCCTCCTGACTCAGCGCACAAGTGCACCAGCACTTCCACGCATTGCAGCCAGTGGAGATCTGGCGAGGAATGAGGCAGGCAACTCCCTTTATAGTGCTGGCCATTCCTCGCTGGGTCTGCATTGGCTCAATTCGGCCTTTCCTTTGTCCCAGACCCTGCATTGCATGTGTCCCAGTG